CAAACAGGCGTAAGGCATTTGCGAGCGGTCGCTAACTTGAATTTTATGTGGCTTATTATTAGAGTGAGTTATTCTGCATTCTACTGTGACTTTACTTTGACTTTGCTCGTGTGGGATTTATAACGATTGAATTTCATGCGTTTTAATTTTTTTTTCACTGAACCTAATTCTTTTTCTAAAATAAAGCTAAGCCCAAGTTACTCCTTATAACATCAGCTATCTTCCAGTGAAAGTCCCAAAAAATTAGTCCAGCCATTTCGGAGATTAGCCGTAACAAACAGGCAGACAGGCCGACAAAAATAAAAATAAAATGTTTTTTTTTGTCATAAGTACCGTATATACTATCTTCAGTAAAAAGCTGTCATTTTGACATTACAAACAGACACTTTAATTTTATTTATTTGTATAGATAGATTACGAAATAAAACAAACGAATATTCTTTACTTTTCAAAGTCAGAAATTCAATTTTTGTCAACAACTAATAAAAAACGACGGGTTGCACTCCGGGAGTGCCAGCAGAAGTGAAAACTTAAATATTAACGTTGTGCATTTTTGATATTTTGGAATGGTTAGGGAATAATTTTGCACGAATTTTTTTAATAATAAGTATAAAAGTACTATCATTTATGTGGTAGAATACAATATTTATTTATTGCGATATCGTACACAAACATGGCAATTTATATTACATTCGCGCAAGCGCCCTGCGCCGCCTAAACGAAACAGCAGGCGCAGGCATACATTTTCGCCGCTCCATAGAAAGAGAGAGGGATATTTCCTCTCCTACGCCGTCCGTCTTACGAATTTTCGATCAGGTCACGTGATCTGACGCGAGTTTAACATTTTTTACCCATTACAAAAAAGTGTACAATGCCGCTAAAGAAGTTTTCACTTCAAAAATTCAGGCCACCTGATGGTAAGTTGGTTGCAGAACAGCCAACGAACAGCTACAAGTTTAAAAAAGTTTAGGGATGCCATATTGTCTGTTCTTTAAACTGGTTCCCAATACTCTTCAGACGGGGAAACAAAAATGCAATTAATGCGTCATAAACCCGAACTTCTAGTCAGAACCGGTGCTCAGTCACCACATCAGTAGTTCCGTTTATCTAGTCATGTGTCTGTTACCCAGTGAAACCACTACAGTGTTTCTAATCTTACGAGTTTAATGTTATTTTTATAGGATATGAGTGACAAACAAGCACACAGTCCATTTGATGGTAACTGAATGCCACTGAATGATGAATGATGTCCACAGACATCTAATTTTTCCTCGATTAAGAATCAAAACGCAGACGCGTTGTCACCCCTGAGTACTAAGATGGAATGTCTCGCTTCCTGTAAAAAAGGACAAACAAAGGTATTAGCTGTACTACAAGGTCAGGAAAATGGGGAGTCCCCCCCCCCCAATTTTTTTTTTTTTATTTTACTGCGGATATCCTCATTTCTGAGTCTATCACGCAGAAAAACTCCGAGCATAGCCCTCTCTCCATAGCACGTTGAGCGACCTAGAGCGTCCTCATACGACCAGCAGTGAAGGACCAAGTCTCTGATCCGTAAGTTATCACTGGCAACACGCACTGGTTGTACACTTTAGTTTTCAGAGATTGAGGTACATCTGACGAGAAGATGTGTCTATTTCCCGAACGCTGCCCAGCCGAGTTGAATCCGTCGATTGATCTCTTGGTCGAAGTTGGACTTACCTAGTCGGACTATTTGTCCCAGGTAAACGTACTCGTCAACAACTTCGAGCATAGTACTCCCAACAACTACCGGCATAGGTGAGACATGGACATTAAACATGATTTTTGTTTTGTCCATGTTCATCTTAAGACCTATCCGTTGAGAGACACCATTGAGGTCATTGAGCATAGTGCTAAGGTCCTCCATTCTCAACTTGGCAAATCGAAGGTGAGTGAAGTACTCGCCATTGATGTTAATACCGTATCCTTTCCAGTCCAGTAGCTTGAAAACGTCTTCCAACGCAGCGGTGAAGAGTTTCGGGGATATAACGTCATCCTGTCTTACACCTCTCTGCAGTTGGATAAGTTTCGAGCTCTGATTCTGTACTTAGATAGCCATCGTAGCCCTACTGTACAAACACTTCAGCACTTCGATATACCGACAGTCAACTTGGCACCGCTGAAGGGACTGTAGCACCGCCCAAATTTCGACGGAATCAAAGGCTTTCTCATAGTCCACATACACCAGGTAAAGTGGCAGATTGTACTCTTCGGTCTTCTGTACAATCTGCCGCAGGGTATGTATGTGGTCTATGGTACTAAAGCCTTTTCGGAAACCGGCTTGTTCGGGAGGCTGGAAGTCGTCGAGTCTGCGTGCGAGACGATTCGTAATGAGTCTCCAAAACAGCACGTAGACGCGGCTCAGAAGGGAAATCGGTCTGTATTTCTTCAAGAGAGCGTTGTCGCCTTTCTTAAAGAACAAGACCACCGCACTTTTGCTCCACGCCTCCGGAGTAGTGCCACCATGGAGGACTTCTGAGAGCTTCTGAAGGACTTCAAGTACCGGTGTTCCATCCGCTTTCAGAAGCTCCGCTGTAATTCCAACCTCGCCTGGGGCCCTGCCGTTTTTAAGGTGCTGGAGAGCCATTCTAATCTCGCTCAGACTGACGTCCGGGATATCATCGGAATAGTGTCGGGTAAGACTTGCTCTTGGATCGTTACTCACACTTGCGTGTATAGAACCGCTCAATCTCACTCAAAATCTCAGGTGTCCCGGAAACGATGCTGCCACACTCAGTCTTCAGCTTTGACAGTTGGCTCTTTCTGGCAGACAGATCTCTGGCAAAGACTTTGGAGCCCTGGTTTCGCTCGATCGCTTCTTTAATACGAGCAGTATTAAAGTTGCTAAGTCTCGCCGCATGCAGTTGGAGATCTGTCTGTTCAGTTGCCTGTATTCTGTCAAATCTGTTGACTATTGCAGCCTCATCTCCGGTCGTTAGACACAGCCATGAGATTAAGAGTGTGATCGGAGAGTTTTTGTGTTCTTCTGCGGCGGGTCTTGCAGAACTTAGCTCCGACCGCATGGACAGTTTCCACGAGCTTATCATTCAAATCGTCCATTGCATTTCAATCTTCTAGGCACTGAAAGCGGTTACGTAACTCGAGCTGAAAAGTCTCGGATTCTGGATTAGAGCACGAGGGGGGGACGGAGCGTTGACTTCATTAGACGAGACCTCTCCAACTTAACGTTTAGGTTCAGTGTGCCTCTAACCATTCGGTGATCGCTGCCAGTTTTCACCCTTGAGATCACTGAGACATCACTGAACAGTTGGCGTCTGGTCGTCATAATGAAGTCAATCTCATTTTTTGTCGACGCGGGGCTCGACCAGGTCCACTTCCTGTGGGGCCGCTTCTGGAAGAAAGAGCTCATCATAAAGAGTCCCTCTTTCTCCACAAAGTCGGCCAGCTGCTGGCCCCTTCGGTTCCGTTGCCCTACTCCAAATTTCCCTAACTTCAGCTCACCTTTTTCTCTTGTGCCTAGTTTTGCGTTGAAGTCTCCCATCAACACCGTGTAGTGGGTTTTGGAGGAATGCATGGCTCTAGAAATATCCTCACACATTTCCTCCACCTCCTCATCGGGATGTGCCGAGGTTGGTGCGTAGACCTGTATGACCTTCAGCGAATACCGTTTGGTGATTCTGAGTATCAGGTACGCGACCCTCGTCGACACACTCCCAATCTTTACAACGTTGTTGACGAGAGAATTGTGGACGATAAATCCGACACCTCCTTGGGACAGATGGTCGCCCTCCCGGTGATAGAACAAGTTGCCGGACTCGAGGATTACCGTGTCCTCCCCCTCTCTTCGGACCTCAGATAATCCAATAATATGCCAGCGCAACTTGTCTACCTCTTCTTCCAGCTCCAGTATCTTCTCGTCAGTCCTCAGGGTGCGTGCGTTATACGTTGCAGGTCGAGTCATCGTAGGTGTCAACCGAACCTCCACCGGATATTCTTAGCACCCCCTGCCCCGCCGTTACCATGGTCGCCACCGTAGCCAAGAATAGCGGGGCTGCCGGGGACTGGGGGCCGTTTATTTGCGTCGTTGCTCTTCGGGGGGATATTTGCCATAGTTGCCACGCTTGGCGAGCGGGTTGGCAACCGCAGTTTTTTATTATGTTATCGTTGTTATCAGGAAGATGCTGCTGCCCATCTTCTTCCTGTGTCCCTCTGTCGCCTCTTACGACACCCACGGGAAGATATGACACGGTAGTGGATATTCTCAACCCCACGCAAGGCATTAAAATAACGATTTTAAAAATGCCTTGCCGTGTAGTGGCGGTTGCCACTATACTAATTAACAACAGTGGTGAAGAAAAACCTCGAGGAAACCTTCACGTTGAAGGAATTAAATATTTAGAAGGTACGTGATGCCTATTCTACAATTAATCCTGCTGCTCGTATTCACAATAACCCTCTTAGAAAGAGGCCTGATCCCAACAGAGGCTGTAAACTTTATTTATTTCTAAACTCGAAACTCACAAATAATATTCTTTGTTTCAAGTTGGCTACAACATAGTTACCATGAGGTGACTTTCAAGCTAAAGACTCAAATTTAAAAAATACTCCAGTGCAGAATCACCCAAACTATCCCAACAAGGTCGCGCGAGATCGCACGGCTTAGTGCGCGCTCTCTACGCGAACAATTAGCACTGATAACTCGATCCAGCTGATATCAGTCAGATAGCGAGGACCCGCGATCTCAACGCGATGGAATCTCACCTACCACTTTGCTGACGAAGTTTGTTCAACCGAACACAATTTTAAGTCTATATAAACATGTGAAATTGTAATTTTTGCAGGAGTTTTGATTTGTGGTGCTTTGTAGGAGAATAGTTTGAATTAGATTTTAGTAAAGTGTAATTGCGTAACTCATTATCATGATATTCATATGTTAATTTAAATATTCATTTATATATTTCAATGTAAATTTACCATATAGGATCCTTCAAAGATTAGTTTAAAAAATGGAAGACGAAATGCTGCTTGAAGAAGATCAAGAGTATGTTAAAATAAATCAACTTTACGACGAGTGTCTTGATTATTTAAACAAATCAACTTGTATAAATGAAGAAGAAAGTAAAGAGGAAGTTCCAGAAGAGAAAAATGAGGTTCTATATTACGTAACAAAAGCTGCTATAGATAACATTAAGAATAACAAAAGTGAAGAGAAAGAGGAGATACCTAAAATTGGATTCAAAGTTGTGAACGAATTAAAATCAAATGAGAGCATTAACTCCTTGTCAGGGGAAACAAAATCAGAGAGATTAAGAAAATTGTCCCAGCAGCTTCCAAAGATAATCATAACACAAAGCAACACTAGCTTAAACTTAAAACGAGATGAGAAAAAGCAAACGGTGGCAAACCACATGCCAATAAAGAGTTCCTTGAAGAAATCAGCCAGTGAAAACAACACATATACGTATGAGTAAGTATTCAGTAAATGTTAGTGAAGAGTCGTGTATTTTTAATTTACATTTCCGTGGTAAATTACAGAAAAAAAAAACAAATGAAAAATTTTGTGTAAAATATTAAAGATGTGTAAAAAACGTTCACAAATATTTACTGCTGTACTGTAGAGTGGACAAAAATTTTACTGTAAATAAAAGTAAAAAATCGTGTTACCATGTAGGGGATGTGTTAAGAATATCTACTATCCCATATTATCCCGCGGGTGTCATAAGTGACGACAGGAGGAAACAAATCAGGATATGAGCACCAGCGTCTTCCTAATAACGGTTAAAAATAAATAAAAATGCGTTTGCCAAACCACTTGCCAAGTGTGGCAACTATGGTGAAATACCCCCCTATGAGGCAATCTTTGGGGGAGGTCTATGTTGAACAGTGGAGTTTAATAGAAGTAATGGTGAAAGTAAAAACTGTCTTGAAAATTTTGAAATAATAAAATGATTTCCACATCATAGTCTTAGCAATTCGATTGTGTTACATAATTTTTTATGATCTCTCTAATTATAATCTCTGTGCTTTCGTGAAAATCTACTTGTAAAGGCTTAGCGATTAGTGTCGGACGTAAATAGACTGTTACTTTACTTAACTATTTTAACTTAAGGCGAAATAGTATCGTAGTCAAGAGTGAGGAGCTCCTGTTTGACCGGCCTGCGCGCAAATTTATTGCACGATATTTATTTGATATATTTTTAAAATGAAATATACTAATTTATTGGAAAATAATATAATATATTAATACCCATAATACCCATAATTCTCCCATGTATTTACTGATGAACACATAGACAGAATTAAATTTAAATTGCTTTAATTAACTGCATTCAAATGAAACTGCTTTTTCCCCTAATGAACGTACCTAAAATTGTGAATTTTGAGGGAATATTTTGACCTTTTTGTATTGAGCCGAAATGTGGCAATCGTGTTATGGCCATCATAATTAACGAAGGAAAATCTTTAAATTTTATAATGATTTAGAAAAAAAGGTGAATTTGTAGTTTTTAATAATAATATCCTATAAAGTTCTGCTTTTGGCGCCCATATCACCTTAACGTATAATGGTCAGTATAGTGCTTAATCTAATCCCTACAACAAAGATAACGCTAAACTCAATGCTGTCAGGAAGATTACTTTCGACAATGTAACCATGTCATGGCTGAACGAAGACTCGATGTCTTTCGTTGGGTAAGCCATGAGGGACTTCTTTTAATCTATTTTTAGTGTACTTCACATGTCCTCAATTTTTTTTAATTTGTTAGACATGCAGGTTTCCTCACAATATCTTATTTCACCGCTGAGCACGTGGTAAAGCGCCTAAAATAGTGATTTAAAATTTCGTTAGTGCCGGTAGGGATCGAACCCGGGTTACTCGTGTTTTGTGAATTTTACCACGAGCGCTTAACGCATGAATCCTAGCTATGTTTGCCAGATTGGAAGACCAATTTATCTGGACAAATTTTGAAAATGTCGAGATAGTGCGGTAGTCGTCGGGTGAAATGAATATTAAAAATAAAAAAATATTTTTTTTTATTAAGAGGCTACAAAAGTTCTTCAAACAAAAGTAATTTAAGTACACTTAATATTTAGATTGCCACTTGTATTTTAATTTAGATCCTTTAGTAGTATTCAGAAAATATTCAAAATTCAATTTACTTCAAAGTTCAGTCAAATTACTAACTCAGCTTTTATTAAATCAAACCATACATTAATTTTGCAAAGAGCTGTTTGTCTGGAGATTTTGAGGTTTGTCGGGAGTCTGGAGACCATTTGAAATGTCGGGGGAATCCAGGCGAATCCCCATCATCTGGCAACCCTTATCCTAACCCCTAAGCTATTACTACACATATTTAATCTATAAATATAAATACATTTGAAGCAATATGGAAATAAGTGGCTTTTATTCAGTTCAGGGGTTATTTGTATGCTATGACGATATAAATAAACATTTTTAAAATTTTCGGCTGTCTGTCTGCCCGTGGTCCGATAATCTGCAGAATAGTAAACAAAAATAAATAGTGATGAAACTTTGAGAAGATAAAGAGAGTAGTACTACCATTTATTATTATTATACCAGTATTCGTCAAGGCTATATTTTATCCGAAAAGCTAGATTTTTTTTTGAAATATTAAAACATTTTCATAAAATGCCTTTGATTATCTTATACGTGGTAGAGCCACACTACAGCTATATTATGGTTGTAGCACGAATGGATCGGCTCGACCGGGGGAAGAACCAAGCTCTCACAGAATACCAGCGTAAAATAGCAGCTGAATACTGCTGTGTTTCGTATGTTGAGTGTAGAGATCCCGAAACCCTTTTCTATTGGAAACGAGGCCGATCTTAGTATTCAAAGGTGAGAACGTATTTGCGTTTTGATTCTTAATCGAGAATAAATGTAGATGCCTATGGGCCACAGCATCCACTTACCATCAAGTGAACTCTGTGCTCGTTTGTTACCCTTATTCTATTAAAAAATCTTAAATCTATGTAACGCCACGTTAATACGAGTAGATCCTATTCAAGCAATGTCGGTTCTGGTCACTAGCATAAGATATTGTCAAACTGAGAATTTGCAGCTCTTACGAAAAGATTTAAAAAGCAAAATTACAGTCCAAATACCTGCCACTGTTGGGCACTAGCCTCCTCGTATTTATTGCATTGCATAGAGCCTTATGCCTCAATTTATGGGGCCTCCCCATAGATGCCCAATTCATGTACAGCAGTGTCCTTGATAATATGGATGGTTACAATACGGATGAATGAATAGAGGGTTAAGGAATCAAATGAATTTCATGAACGCAACAACTCCCGATACCATCCTCACCATCTGGATGCTGGCGGTCCACCACTGTACGTTTCACTAGGAGTTTTCTCCTCCTCTCTGTGGAATAGTTTACCACCGGCAATTTTTCTAGACCTACGGACCTTCAAGAAAAGAGCTTACTCCTTTCTAAAGGGCCGGCAACGCACCTGCAATTCCCCTGGTGTTGCGGTTGTTCATGGGCGGCGGTAGTCACTTAACATCGGGAGAGCCGTATCCTCGTTTGTCTTCGTTTCTCTTATTAAAAAAAACATGTCCTCGAAAATAATATTTTATCCTTTACTGTTTCTTTTTTTTTCATTGATGAGCACGTGATAATATAGTACATATATTTTTTATATAGAATAGGTTAACAAGCGCGAACACAGTCTACCCGATGGTAAGGGGATGTTGTGGCCCATAGAAAGATATATATCCTTTATCCTCGGTTAAGAATCAAAATGCTGACGCGTTGTCACCTCTGAAGACTATACACACTCTCTCCTCGTTTATTTCCCTCTGTTGCATTTTACGCAACCCAAGGTCATCATGAACAAATGAGTGTTTAAATAATCTTTTTGCAGTGTGAAACACCAGCCCATTTTCCGCAATAGAACTGCTTACGGCGACTTCCCAAAACGTTTGGTTTCGAAGAACGGAGTCGAGAACGTAGCCTTGATATCAAACGTGCCTTTTGAGAAGATACGGCTGCTCAATGATACTTTCCATACATTGGTAAAAGATTTGTATTTGTTTTTTAATATTTATTAACATAATTATTACGTGGTGGAGCCACGCTGCAGCTATATTATGATTCTGGCACGAATGAGTCGGCTCGACTGAGGTATGACCACGCTCTTACAGAATACCAAAGTAAATTAGCAGCTTAATACTGCTGTGTTTTGTATGGTAAGTGTAGAGAACCAAAGACTATTTTTACTGGAAACGAGACATTCCATCTTAGTCCTCAGGGGTAACGACGAAGAAGGAAAGGGCATACTATTTTTTAAAAGGAAGGCAACGCCTCTGCAATTCCCCTGTGGTGGTGTTGCAGTCACAAATCTTGTACAATCTTGACCCATCTACACCCATCGACTTCCTGCATCCGTCAACCGTCATAGGTGTCAACCGTCATAGGTGACCTTTTTACACTCTGCCAGCCGGCACGGGGCTGCCTCTCTAGAATCTTGTTTCTCCGTTGGTTGCCAGTTGGTCGAACTATATAAAATTTTATGCTAGGAGTAAGTAAAAATAGTCTTCACGTCAACTGCATATCTGTACAATAAAATACTGCAAGGCATTATGTTTTCAACGTAACTAAAGTAAACAACTTCGCAGCGGAAACATCCGTCAGAAAAAGTTCGTGCATAAAGCCACTGAGTTAAGTTCAATTCACAATCTAGAGTGTTTGCCAAAAAAAACCATTTTCTTAAATAGAGTATTTAATTATGATATACTAAAGCGGAAGAGTAATTTTTCGTTTTTTTCTGTTTGTTTAAACATGCTGATCTATGGATCAGTCCGATTTGAAAAACTATTTTTGTCATAAGGAATAGTATAGGCTGTCTAGCATTACGCTACACCTCTCTAGGTAGGTAGGCTTAAATATTGATATTTGTTAAGCAAGTCAGAAGATAAAGCGCTCCCGAAATGTTTTATCCGCGTGTGCTGGCGTAATGGCTAGTGATACGCAAACATAATGTTCTAAAAAAAATATAACCCTTTTCTTTACATCAAACTTAGATTTCCTATGAATTTTAATTAATTCGGACCGGTAGATTTTGAGAAATCTCAAAAATAAAAAAACGGCTTTACCGATCGATTTCATTATTACACATATATGTGCGACGTGGTCTAGTCAGCGTTTAACCTTGAAAAAACCACGTCGATCGCCGTCAGTCTGATCAAAATCGGTTGATTCGTTCGTGAGATATCGTTAACGAAAAATTCTACTCCGATATTTCATATTCAACGTCATGATTTAGTGAAATTTGGAGCGCTTTGCATTTGAAATTAGTGGGAATTTATTGAAACATTCAAAATTAGAATTAGAAATTAGAAATTTTAATGTATTGAGATATTTTTAATCAACTATCTCAGCACTATTTACTTCACTGTTATGGTCTTAATAAAGTACATATCATAAATATACCTTACGACTTATGAGATTTTCGCTGCTAAAGCTATAATGTAGAAAAGAAACAAAATTGGACCAACAAAGGACCCCAGTGGCACACCCATTTTTATTTCAGAATCCCACTATTTATCTGGACTTTTTGAATATCCTAATGTTATAATTAATCATGGCTCCATGGCGACCTTCAGCGTAAAACTATTAACTTTTAGTACAATCTGCGCAGAATGAGCTTACAGTATCTTAAAGTCTTGTACTGGTATCCTTCGGTTAGTATTTAATATTATTAATTATTGGATGACAAATAAAAGAATATATTACACTGGTGTGAATGTTCGACGCTTCGCGAAGTCTGCAGTCTGTATACATGTCAAAAATCATCACCCCCATTACTTCAGATTTGATAAATCACGAATCCTCGCAGAAGAACACCGATTTCTGCCAAGGATGATGATGATCAGAATTTCAATAGAGAATAAGACTAGTTGTTGGAAGTTGCTTAAAATTCTATAATTAATAGAATTAAATCCCAACCTAAGCATACCACCGCAAGTCTTCAAGATGAATTATTTTAGAAAAACCTTGTCCCAAGGTAACAATTACTTTTTTCCACATCTGAATCAATTTAAATGAATATTTTTCTAGATCAATCTACGATGGCGCTGGATAGTCATTGGAACTGTGGTGGTACACTTCGCTATCTGGCTGGTGTTCGCCGTGTTCTGGTACATCGCGGCACTGGCGCACTATGACTTCGAGCCCGACCCGCCGAAACGCACTTGCGTTACAGGCGGAAAGGATTTCGTTACAATTTTTCTTGCTTCTGTCGAGGCTCAGGTGAGTTTTAACGTGGTAAATCCACACTGCAGCTGTTTTATAGTAACAGTTCAGTTAACAGCTGCAGCTATGTTATGTGCTTTATGCTGCAGCTTTAGCAGCAGTATTACGCTGCATAATGCTGTGTGTGATATAAGGTAATGAGGACAAACCGTTAGTACCACAATTCCATGGCATCTATTGTGGCAGCTGGCAACTATATAATACGTGCTAATTTAGTGCTAGACAACGTTTTAAGTTATGCCTTTAAAACTGTTAAGACATCTGCATCTATCCTCGGTTAAGAATCAATATGTAGATGTGTTGTAAACGAGTTAGAGTATGTGTTGTAAATGAGTTAGAATAACTCGTTTGTAGTGAAAATGGTATCCTGTTATACATGTAACAAAAACCCTGTGGTTCCCGTTAAGTGTGTTATCAGAGTCAGTATCCAAGTGTATAGAAATGATTTTTTTTCTCAAAAAAAAAAACACATTAAAAAAATAACTTTAATAAAAAAAATATTAATTTGCAAATTGTATGTGGTTTTATTTCCTCTAACTCACACGAGTATCGGTAATGCGGGGTCTTTGACTATCCTCTTACTCCTCGGCCAATGCAGAGATAATAAAATCACATACAATTTGCAAATTATTTTTTTTTCATTAAAATTATTTTTTTTAAATGTGTTTTTTGGGAATAAATATTTCCATATGCTTGTATACTGATTCTGATAACACAGTTAACGGGAACCACAGGGTTTTTGTTACATGTTGTATACACTTACCATAATGAAAAACAACATATTTAACGCCGATATTCTATGAGAACGTCGTCCTTCCCCGATCAAGCGTGGCTATGTAACGTACAAAATATAAGTATTTATCGAGATATATTTATGCAGGTAATTACGAGTACGTACTTGACGTTAAATTTGTGTCACAACAACATTTTAGTACTTGAATGATTAATTTACGTAAATAGTACTTAATTAGGTAGTAAACCAAACTATCACAGTATATTATAGCTTAGTTTTCTGTAGAAATAGTAATAATAATAGACGGATGTAGCAGGAATGGATCGGCTCGACCGGGGAAGGACCACGCTCTCACAGAATATCAGCGTGAAATAGCAGCTTAATGCGTTGAGCGCCATGTGTTTCTTCTTGGAAACACAAAATGCTACCTTCTGAGGCCGCGTGTTTCTTTTTGGATACACGGTCGACCCGTTAGTTCGAGGCCAGTGTATCCACTAGGAAACACGTTTTCATACATTCTCCTACGGAATCTTTTACTTCTGGCCTCCACGAAGGTTTCGGTCCGAGTGGGTTTTTTATATGTCTTTTAGGTAAAAAATTATGACAAAAATAAAAAAACACCTATTTTTAGAAATTACATTTATTTTTAATATTCTCATTTCTTTTCTAAACACACAAAATCAACAGTAGATAGATAGATAAAATATAACAGGCTGGTATAATTAGTAGTTTTTTTTTTTTTACAAAAAAGTAGTTAGTAGAGCTTGTCAAAGTGATCTGTACATAGCAAAACTTGGCAAATAGAGCAAATTCTCTTCGTTTGTTTTTTCGTTTTCCTTGCCTTCCATACATCTTGTAGCCTTCGTCCACACAACGTCCTTTCATTTTTTTCGGAGGGTTTTCCTTGATATTGAAAACATGTCTGTGTCGCTTGTTTGATGTTGGTCGTGGTGTTAGTGGGCTTTGGTCTTCTTGACGTGAGTATTTGTGAGGCATTCCTCTAATAACTGCCTCCTTAAATTCTGTGTTTTGAGAGCCTGCGAGTATTCTCAGAGTACAAAAATAGAGCATTCACGATGCTGATACCCCACAATACTTCAAGATATAATTTTCTATACTATTTTGTACAACGCCTCAACCCCGAGTTGTACAACGCCGTCTGATCACTCAAGTCGATGCTCGATGTTCCTGTGTTGTAATCTACATTGCACGCCGGCTTTAGGATAATTTGATTCGTGCGATTTTTTGGGCAACGGTTTTCAGTTTTGAATGTTTCAATAAAACATTCAGCACTGAAATCCTCTTATCCGTGCACTTCAAAACGACAATGCCATCGCTGGTTTGCATGTTTCCAAAAGTATACACACGGCCTCTAAAGAAATTTTTAATTAAAAACTTTATCAGGGGCCCCGTGTTTCTTTTTGGCACACATGAAAAATCATGGAATATCATGGAAAACCAAAATGATTTAACATGATTTTACTATAAGATTAGTATAACAATGAAAATTAAGACAAAAAAAGGCAGGTTCAAAAATTGAAATAACATAGTTTTTGGGTTTGGCGGCCAACGTGTTAATGCTGCTGTGTTTCGTGTGGTGAGTGTAGAGAACCGGAGCCAACCCGCTTGCGTACCAAATATAGAAATCCGCGTTTTAAGGTAACCTACTATTGACAGCTTGCGGCTTTATTCAGCACGGACTATCTTCTTGGTCTAGTGTCGGTAGTTGGTAAAGTTCGGTGTTCCAATTTGGGGTTTTTCTGACCAGAAAATCGCAGTAGCAGATTCTATCAGAAAGTTGGCGGAGTTGCACCCCCTCGCCTCGGAAAGCACGTAAAACCATTGGAACTGCACTAGATCTCTCTTCGATCGTATCAGTATATCGTCTCATTGGACTATTTAACACGTGGTAGAGCCATGCTGCATATATGACCACGTTGTGTGGACCACGCTCTCACTAAATACCAGCGTAAAATAGTAGCTTAATGCTGCTGTGTTTTATATGGTGAGTTTAGAGAACCGGAAACCCTTTTTAATGGAATCGAGGCATTCCATCTTAGTCCTCACGGGTGACAACGCATCTGCATTTTGATTCGTAATTGAGGATAAATGCAGATGTCTATGGGACACAGCGTCCACTTACCATCAGATGGACTGTGTGTTCGTTTGTTACCCTATCCTATAAAAAAAACTATTAGAGTGAGGAAATAGAGAGATGACCAGGAATCAATTCCTGCATTATTGCCGGAAAGTCAATTATTGAAATTGGCAATGCAGTGCCCATTAAGCAATCGCTCGTGTACAATAATGTAGCGGAAGCTGCGTCGCCGCAGCAATCCTGCTGATTGAGTTAAATTGCGCACATCTTTCCCAACAATGTCGACCGCCGCTGCGACAATTTCCTCAGACGCCCATTACCAATTATTGTGTGTCTGTTTGTATGTACCGTAGAAAGTTCAAGTACCTAGAAACAATTTAATTTGTTGGCTAGCTTTTATCAACCACTACATCTGTATAGAACTTAAACAATAATGCAGACCTATGGGTAAGATGTACAATTATCTGAAAACCTCATAAGCTGTATGCGACATGGTCTGATTTTACGAAAAAAAGGTCTTATCACCGTTAAAATTAAGTTACAGCATACATACGTCCCACTGCTGGGCACAGGCCTCCTCTCATTTCTAAGAGGGTTTTAGCGCAAGAAAGTGTCCGCCGCGCTGCCCCAATGAATGTTGGCGAATTTGATATGTTTTTGAAATTTTTTTTATTTCTCAGGCATTAAAGTTGCAATTAACAATTTCATCGGTGCCGGCGGGGATCGAACCCAGGTTGCTCGCGTACGTATGTGACATTTACAGCGAGCACTTAGCCCATGAGTTACCACGGCTTATCACCGTATCCTGTAACAAACTCGGTTGTTTTGTGAAATTGTGTTGAAGTAAAAAAAAAGTTTAAATTCGATTTTGCATTAAAAATACGAGGGTGGTCTGAAAAGTTCCCGACCTAACAATGATTCAAGAAATTTTTTCTTAAAATTTATTTTTATTTTTCTACATAGTCTCCTTGTAACTCACACTTCTAGCAGCGATTTTCCCATCTCTCTAACCCGCCCAAATACTAGACTTTTGAACTGAGACAATTATTATTATACATTTCAAAATACATTTTGTATAATAAATAATAAATATTTTAGTTCCACGCGTAATTCAAGTTAAAGTACATATCATTAGTGTGATTTCTTGTGTTGCAAATCCGATGACAAATAACTAATATTGGGGTTGTAAAACCATAAATATAACTTTTAAATAAATATTGACTATTATGTTATGCGTAAACGAACTATGCATTCCTTGGGGGAGGCGTGGACTTGGGCTGTAATGATGATGATGATGAAACTAACTTGTTAGCAACAGTAGTCCTCGATGCAGCGAAGATCGCCCGCGTTCGTTCATAGCGAACTTTGTGACTGGTGGAGTGCCCAAAATATTGTGTCGCGTGCCGTCGATGGGGCGCGTGCCATTGGCTCGCGAACCTTGGTCAACACAATCACAAAACCAATATTCCATTAGTTGCCTTTTACGACATAATAAGTAACACAGTCGGCACATTCTATCAGTCCTAGACTAACAGGAAACCGACGCCTACCTACAGTTATACCACAGTCTACAAATTTTATTATACTCTGGTTATACTATCTCTAGTTACGCAAGCGTGCAGTCTTACTCTACACTAATTTAAATGATATTTGTGCGTGGTAAAGCTACGCTGCAGCTATATTATATAACAGACAAATGGTTTGGCTCGACCGGGGAAAGGTACACGCTCTCACAGTTTACCCGCGTAAAATAGTAGCTTAATGCTGCTGTTTCGTATGGTGAATGAAGAGGATCGGAGACTCTTTTCATTGGAAACGGGGCATTTCATCTTAATCCTTATGCGTGACAACGCATCTCCATTTTGATTTTTAATCGAGGATAGATGTAGTGGCCACAGCATTCACTTATCATCAGGTGTGCTGCGATGAGACAGATTAAAAATAAAAAGGCTAATGATCTTCAAACGGCTGATCCGAGTTTGGTAAAAAAAGTCCAAGGACCACCGATAGAAAACCTGGTTTTAAATAAAAACACCGCACCCAAATCGAGTCACCCGTTTGAGTCACGGTGTCACAGACGATATACAGGCAGACATGCCGATAAATATAGCGGTCAAACTTATAACACCCCTCGTTTTCGTCGGGAATTAAAAAATCGTGTATTCTACTCTACACTAATTTGATAATGATATCCGTATGTTTTATTTCAGACTACAATCGGTTTTGGAGATCGTGCCATAGATGAGGAGTGTCCAGAATCTATATTTTTGTTCATAATGCAGGTATTGGTCATTGAAATGTAAGCCGTAAATGTAAGTGGTCGAAATTCGGTCCGGAGAACATTAAATCAGCACTTGAAATCGCAACTAACAATTCCAGTTCAAACAATAATAGCTTCAGTGCCGGTGGAGATACCCAAAGCGTACCCAAAAAGCGTGATCGTTCTTTTTCTGAGCTACAAAATACTACTTTTGACTTTCAACCTGTCTATTATTGCGTTGTTTCAATAAAACATAAGACATTTGGTTTTATTAAGGTTTTAGTTTTTCCTACAATATCAACGTGATAGAGCCATGCTGCAGTTATATTAGTAGTATAGTTGTAGCACGAATGGGTCGGCTCGACCGGGGAAGGACCACGCTCTCACAGAATACCAGCGTAAAAAATTCAAATTTTTCTTACTTTTGCTGACAAAGGGAACGGAGGAATATTCAAAAATCTTACGATAAAAAAAATTTAGAAAACAATAAAAATATTTTTAAAACAATATTTATAACATAAAACATAACATAAACACTCACGCCTGTAACCCAGAGAGGTAGGCAGAGACTACAGACTTCCAGTTAGCACGATCCTGACACACCTCTCTCGCCTCTTCCACATCCATATACCTACGCATACATGCTCGTCGGTTAAGGGTACTCTTAATTTGACCCATTTTTAGTATATCGCCAATTTGGTCCACAAACTTCCGCCTAGGACGTCCCTTTCCGACTCTTCCATTCACTTCTGCAACATATATTTGCTTTGTCAGTCTTTCCGCATTCATTCTTTCTACATGACCAAACCACACAATATTTATAATCTACATTAATAAAACTATTTTGATTATTGTGAATATCTAATACCAATAAAAATAATAAAAGAAACGTGGATACGGAGCCCGTGGATAATAAATTATTTTTAATTTTCTTATTTTATTAAAACAATAATACTTAAATTTTAAAAAAGAATTGAGTATTTTTTTTTATAAATTTTAACATTAATAATTCTTACTTTTGACGTCTTATTATTTGGTGGAGGGGGGGAGTTCGCAATTTTATTATTAATTTGTATATACACACCGGCATAATTAGCGGAATACAAAAAAAGCAGGATTTTAAAATCTTTTACTTGAGGAACTGCCAGTTATGATATTTTTTTTAATTTATTGTCAAATTTGAAAATAGAAAATTAGATGACATACACTTTTTTCATTCATTTGTTTTATTTTCCCGAACAATACGTTTTGTCAACTTGTTCGAGTAATAACTACGTAATTGTAATTTTTTTTGAAAAATTGCACTTAATGGTTTTTTTATAAATTTGTTATTCTATAGGCAATTTTGTTTATTAAAATCTCTTTATTATGCCTGACTTAACATCACTGGAAATCATTAGGGCTGATGAAATGAGAAGAAATGGCCATTCCTACAGATCGATTGCCTCAAGGCTTCGTCGACCAGTATCAACGATTCATCGCAGCATCCAGCGGTACAGATCGTCTAATTCTCTTGTGAGGAGGAGGGGTCAAGGTAGAAAAAGATGTACATCGAGGCGAGATGACAGTTTTTTACAACTTGGAGTTCGTAGGAATACGCGATTAACGGCTGTACAAGCTCGAAATGAACTGGAAGACGTTCGAGGAGTACGAGTAAGTGAGCGTATAGTTCGCAGGAGATTTGAAGAAGTTGGTTTAGGGTCGTTTATACCTGCCAAAGGCCCAAAACTTAAGAGACGTCACCGCGTAAACCGATTAAGCTATGCGCGAGAACATCGTCATTGGGATTTGAACGAATGGCAGCTGGTTCTCTTTACTGATAAGTGCAGAGTTCTTTTAAAACAGATCGATGGGAGACAGCGAATATGGAGACGCAAAGGAGAACGCCACATACAGTCTAATTTTGAACACACAGTGGCTTATGGTGGCGGCTCGATTATGGTTTGGGGAGGGATATGTTTGGGAGCTCGCACGGAGTTAGTGATAGTCACAGGAGGGACCATGACAGCAGATCAATACATCAGAGACATTTTAGAAGAACATGTTGTACCATTTGCCCCATTTATTGGTGACGACTTTATTTTAATGCAAGATAATGCTCGTGCTCATAGTGCACAATCGGTACAGGCATATCTGAGCCACGTAGGTATACCGGTGATGCAGTGGCCAGCAAATTCCCCCGATATGAATCCGATAGAGCATGCCTGGGACTTGCTAAAAAGAAGGGTTAAATCCAGAATGCCACCCCCCAACAATCTGAATGAACTTGGAAACGCATTACTTGAGGAGTGGGAGCGGTTGCCTCAAGAAATCATCGATAACATAATCTGTAGCATGCCCAGACGAATGGAAACCGTAACCAGAGCAAGAGGCAACACTCGTTATTAATTTTGCTTTAATTTTATTGTTAAATCATTTAATGCTTACTTTTTTTATTTTTTGTGATGGTTCATAATCATCTAAAAATTTCACTTATTTCAAATTCCTTTATTTTTCAATAAAAAATAACGAAGACTTTTCAAAGTCGTTGTTAAAAGACGTTAATCAATTTGTTATTTTGTGTATAATTACATTTTCGTCAAATATATGCGTTATTATCTCATAGTCTCACTTTTTTTTCTGTTCCGCTAATTGTACCGGTGTGTATATTAATCAACCATGTATTAATTTATATCATAATAACCCTTTTTATACAGTTTTTGTTTAATTAAATATTTAAACTTGGTAATAGAGAGACCTTGTATATTTAAAATAAAAATTAAAATTATTAAAAATAAAAATTATAATTATTAAAATAAAAATTACATTATAATCAACCATGTATTAATTTATATCATAATAACCCTTTTTATACAGTTTTTGTTTAATTAAATATTTAAACTTGGTAATAGAGAGACCTTGTATATTTTCTGGGAATTTGTTGTAATAGCGTATACATTGCCCCAAGAATGAATTAGTGACTCTGTGGAATCGAGAAACTGGTATGACTAGCTTGTGTTTGTTCATAGTGTTTTCAGAGTGTATATCACCTTATTTACTAAAACTATCATTGTTTTTGTGAACATACATCCGATTTTCTTAGATATACTGATGGCCAAAGTAAATATATTTATTTCTTTAAATTTTTCTCTCGGTTTAAGGTTGTAAATAGCTCTCATGACCCTCTTCTGCAAAACAAAAATAGTTTATAAATCAGCCGCATTCCCCCATAGCAAAATCCCATACATTATGATATGGAAATAACTGAAATAAACTAATCTAGCTGTCTCGACACTAGTGAGATACTAAAGTTAGTGAATATTTGAACGCACCCCAAGAAAAAAATGAAGATTATTTTCTCTTGTTTTGTAGTTAATTCTTGGCACTGGACTGTCAGGTGTTCTGACTTGTGTGGTATACGCGAAGCTGACGCGACCAGAAAAGCTCTCGCGTGACGGAGTGGGCTTCAGTAAGAAAGCTGTTGTGAGTACAGTACATATTTTATGCTCTTCATCGCCATCATCATTATTACACCCCATCAAAGTCCTCTGCTGAAAATAGGCCTCCCTCACAGATTGTCTCGCAGAATTAATTTATCAAAATTGCCATACTTAGCACGAGAGTTGGCTACGGAAGTTTTTTTCTTATTTTAAGACGTTAAGAAAACTTCATCACATCTCCTTATTTGTTTTTATCTGTCGCTTCTTACGACACCATCATCATAATTAGAACATTTTTATACAGCATAGTTATACGTGGTAGAGCCACGCTGCAGCTATATTATGGTTGTAGCACGAATGGGTCGGCTCGACCGGGGGGAGATCACGCTCTCTCAGAATACCAGCATTAAATAGCAGCTCTATGCCGCTGTGTTTCGTATAGTGAGTGTAAAGAACCGGAAACCCTTTATACAAGAAACGAGGCATTCCATCTTATTGCTCAGGGGTGGTAACGCATCTGCATTTTGATTCTTAATCGAGGATAAATGAAGATGTCCAATGGCCACAGCATCCACTTAATATCAGGTGGACTGTGTGCTCGTTTGTCACCTTTATTCTATAAAATAACAATACAATATATCACTCCACTGCTGAAAATAAACCTCCCACAGATATGTTCATATCTGCCACGCTGCAGCTATTATGGTTATAACACGAATGGGTCAACTCGACTGAGGTAGGACGACGCTCTCACAGAATACCAGCGTAAAATAGCGGCTTAATGCTGCTTTGTTTCGTATGATGAGCGTAGAGAACTGGAGACCCGTTTTACTGGAAACGAGGCCTGCCATGTTAGACCATAAAGGTGACAACGTGTGTGCATTTTGTTTTAAATCGAGAATTGATATGGATGTTTACGGGCCACAGTATCCACTTACCACCAGGGGGACTGTATGCTCGTCTGTCACCCTTATTCTATAAAAAAAGTACGATGATGTTGATGTTTTTTTCAGATCAGCATGCGTGACGGACACCTGTGCTTGATGATCAGAGCGTGGGACCTGAACTACGATCATATCATCAGTTCCGAATTTAGTGCTCACTTTATTGATACCTATCGGTTAGTTAATTTTACCTTCACCCTAGCCGTAATGCTATACGTTTTTCTTAATTTATTTATTATGTACAGGGTGTATTAAAAACACTCCCATAGATTGCCTCATAGAGTCTTATTTGATATAGTTGATAAGCTCGGCATGTAGGTATTTCGAGTTGCTATCAGAAAGATGTGTTGCCCACCATTTCACTTTGTAGCCTCTTACGGTACTCGCGATTTATTAACTTATAAGGTACATGAGAGTAACATCATGGTCACCTTAAGCTTTGCCGCCCTAAAAAAAAACTAGGAGGAGGATAGATACAAATACACAAAGTCGTATACTATAAGTAACATATTTATTAAAAATAGCAAATAAGCTTCGGCAACAGTTAGGAACATTTCGAAAAATCAACTTAATAAAAACTAACTACATTACTCCATACTAAATTCGACTAAAATATTTACTATAATTAAAATAGCATGGATAAAGCAGCGCCCTTTTGACCCTTTATTATTTGATTGACCGATGAAGAGCTGTCGTATTACAAAGCCATCTATGCAAACAAGGCTGTAATTTTTGAGTTATAAAAAAGTGACCTCATTAACCCGATATACATACATATTACCCTCGTGTACCTTAATTATGAGTACATCAAAGTCTTATGTTAATATCAAAATAATTTTATTCAAATCTAGCAATCTACCCCCAGCTTCGCACCTGGATTCTACAACAGCGCCACCTACATAATAACAACAGTGCAACTATGCCTATAACTTTTAGGCAAGTGCAAGTAATAAGTTGACAAAGTTTAACCGCAATCTGATGAACGGTATGTCAGCGCATAAAATACAAACAAACAAATATCAGTTTTTACAAGGCTTTACAAAGCAGTTTTTGAAAGTAAAAAAATACTTCAAAGCTCCAACTTCAGAATATAAAATTATTTAATTCTTTTTACCTACCCTTTTTCAAGTCGGATAAATACTAACGCCACGCTATCGTAATATGGTTACTTAATGCTGCTGTGTTTCGTATGGTGAACATTGACTTACATATTACTAGCATAATGGTGAATGACAAAACTACATAGGATAATATAGTTGTAATAGGACATTTTTAGTTATCGGGGATGACAACGCATATGCGTTTTTAATTCAGATAAATGCTGGTATCTATGGGTAATTTTTATTTATGGTAATGAGGGCTAATAACGTAGACAGAGAATCCTATAGGATTCTCTGTCTACGTCATTAGCCGGATTATTAGCCGGATTATTAGATACGGATTATTAGCCGTAGACAGAGAATCCTATAGGATTCTCTGTCTACGGCTAATAATCTTACGGTCACCAGATGTCGCTAGCTGCACTGAGTTTTGTTGTCCATAATGTCATTTAATTGAGAATTTAGTTTTAAATAAAAGTTTTATCAGTTTCTAGAGTATTCTATTAATACACAAAACAATGCCTCAGTAGTTTGTTCTTTAATTTTTGCACATTTTAACGATTTTTTTAAATTTTCCCATTTTTACGAATATCTGTGGTTTGGTTTATTTTTTATTAATCTAATTAACATAAAATGTAACTAATGGTACAGAAAGAAACATGAACCTTTACATTTTTCAAAAAATAACTTCCCAACTATGAAATCTGTCAAATATTGCACCTCACTATAAATGGCACCACCCTGGTGGTAAAAAGTTGTGGACGCCTTCATTGGATGCTGTCGCCCATAGACATCTAGATAAGTTTTAATTAATAATAGAAAAAAATGTTCGACGATAAGGCAAAATATACATACTAAAAAAGACATTCTGTAGAATTTTAAGCTTCCCTGTTTTTTTTAAGTTGGCGTAAAAACTACACCATCGCTACTGTAAGTTCCTACTTCTTTTTTCAACACACTAGCCAAGCGTGACCACTATGAAAATATTCCCCCTATGAGGCAATCAAAGGGGGAGGCCTATTTTCGTCAATGGACTTTGATAGGCTGTAATGGTAAAGATCTTTGTCCATAAATTTTTATCTTAAAAAAAAACTAATTTATAGGACGAAGGAGGGCGAGGTAATCCGCTACTTCGCACGCACTCTGACTCTTCAGCAACGTCAGTTCCTTCTGTGGCCGGTCACGCTTGTACACGTCATCGACCACACCAGTCCGCTGTACAACTACACCCCTAAAGATATCTCTAACAACAGGTAACTATGGATATATACAACGAATAAAAACAATTACGCAGTTCACAATCTTCAGGAAATTGAGAATTTGTAATAGCGCCATTTACTTCATCCTATAGTTAAAATCATTTTAACGTACAAAAATTTGTTGATTTTCATGCTGGAAAATAGACGCCACATGTCCTAAACACGACTAATTTAATAATAGGTATTTTTGATCCATGAAATTGCCGTTTTTCATTACTGGCCATTTCAAATCAAAATAATTTTTGTTTGGCTTGAATTCTAATTCAAATTCAAATTAATTTTGTTTCAAAAACATGAAATTCTTTTTTCAAAATTAGTCATTTGTTCATTGCTTAGCATTATGTTTTTTATCACATTTTATTCTTTTTCGTCATCATGGATACATTAAAAATTCGAGTAATAATGGAATATGAGTGCACGCAACAACAGCGACGTTTACGGAGCAAATACTACCTTTTATTGCTTAGCCCGTTTCCGTTCTGGAAATTTCGACCTGAAAACTGAACCGAGTGACAGTGACAATGACGAATAAAAAGCGATTGTGGAAGCTGATGATGATAATACTCAATCTACGGCTGAATTAGCAGTAGCTTTCAATGTTAGCATCAAAACAATATTGGTTCATTTGTATCAAATTAGCAAGTAAAAAAAAAACCTTGACAAGTATGTGCCCCATGAACTCCAGCATTAACTACGCGTCGAGACGTGTCTTTCACTGCTTAATAGGCACACAAAAATTTTTGAACCGCATGGTTACCTGTGACGAAAAATGGTATTTGTTTAACAATCGCAAGCGCTCAGCAAGTTTGTTAGATTCTGTTTCCTGGTTCAGCACATAAACAGTGCCTTAAACGACCCCTAAAAAGTGACGGTCACTGGTTGGTTGTCTACCGCCGGTGTGATTCATCACAGCTTCTTACCAAACTTGATAAACACTACTGCAGATGTGTACTGTGAAGAACTATACACAATGCTGGACAAGCCGACTCTTCTCCAACCAGCTTTGGTCAATCGCTCGTCCATGCTACTTTTACACGACAACGCCTGACCTCATGCTGTACAACAGACGGTCTCCAATTGCAGAAGCTGGGGTTGGAAGCTCTCCGTCATTTGCCATACTCACCAGACCTTGCGCCTACAGACTTTTAATTTTTCAGAATTTGAATAACTTTTTGGCGGGAGAGAAATTCCATACTTGAGAGGCAGTACAAAATGCCTTTGAAGAATTTGTTGCCACTCGTCCAGCTGATTTCTTGAACAATTTCAATAAACTGCCACTGACGACAAATATTCATTTATTACGTTAATTAATTGCATAAAAAACGCCAATTTCATCGGTAAATACCGAATGCGAATACGTGGTAGAGCCACACTGCAGCTATATTATGGTTATAGCACGAATGGCTCGGCTCGACCGGGGAAGGACCACGCTCTCATAGAATACCAGCGTAAAATAGAAGCTTAATACTGCTGTGTTTCGTATGTTGAGTGTAGAGATCTGGACACCCTTTTTTACTGGAAACGAGGCATTCCACTTAGTCCTCAGGGGTGACAACGCATCTGCGTTTTGACTCGTAATCGACGATAAATGTATATTGGCCACAGCAACCACTTACCTTCAGATGGACTGTGAGCTCGTTTGTCACCCTTATTCTATAAAAAAACCTTTTTACTGGATACCAGGCATTCCCTATTAGTAATCAAAGGTAACAACGCATCTGAATTTTGATTCTTAATAGGGGATAGATGTAGATATCTGTGGGCCACATCATCCACTTACTTACTTAAAATATGAATAATGCCTTATTAATCACTTGGTTTGTAACAGAAATAACTTTTATGGCTTAAGCGGGATGCTTGTACCGCCATCTGTCTGTGGCCATGGAATCATCGTGGGTCCATAGGAATTTTCTTACGCCACGATTGTTTTAAAAAAAGTATATGTTATTTTTTCAGTTACGAGATCACAGTCAGTCTGAAGGGCGCGTCAGCATCGATGGGCACTTTCACTCAAAGTCAGACTTCGTACTTTCCGCGGGAAATCCTCTGGGGACACCGCTTCCCACCCGTTGTCAAGTAAACATCTATCCAATCATATATTTAATTTTAGTTAACCGTTACGGTCTGTTGACGTCCCACTATTGGACACAGATCCCATTATTGAGAGGTTAATGGAGCGATAAGAGTTAAACATTGTTATTGTGAGAAACGAACTTATAATTCACCTGATGGTAAATTGCTAAACTATGTTGTAAATATATATTACGTTTTTGCATCGCCAAACTATACTTTTCTGCATCTTTTGGACCTGTAGATCCAAGGGATGTCTGGATGAAGTAACTTTTAGCTATAATACCACCTATTCTAACAAAAAATAGTCAAATGATAGAATCATATTCAAGATATTAAAAATTTACTAGCTAAGATCCACGTAATAAAACTAACTGTTAGTTAATTTGTAGAGCACCTCTCACCCTCCCTTAATTTCGTGCACTGATCCCGTTACCAGTAATCCAAACACCACTAAACTAGGAAAAACACATCGACGTTAAAATTCGATACGTGTTTCACCTCTAAATGGGGCATCATCAGCAGAAATACACTTGGTGATGGTTGACCACTATATTATATAGTACGTAAGGGTAATATGGTCATCCCGTTAATATCTTCACCTTCTTGTAACACAAAAATGCAGCCTTGTTTGCATAGATGGCTTTGCGTTACGATAGCTCTTGTTAGTTCAAATAAAAAGGCGCAAAAGCGCGCCATTTTGACACTTAACATTATAGTAAATATTTTAGTCGATTTTAGTATGATGTAGTGTAGTTAGTTTTTTTTAAGTAGATTTTTCGAAGTGTTCCTATTTATTGCTAAAGCTTGTTATATATTTCTTAATATATTACATAACATAACATAAACACTCACGCCTGTCACCCAGAGGGGTAAGCAGAGACTACAGACTTTCATTTAGCACGATCCTGACATACCTCTCTCGCCTCTTCCACATCCATGCTCGTAGGTTAAGGGTAATTTGGCCCATTTTTAGTATATCGCTAATTTGGTCGACAAACTTTCGCCTAGGACGTCCCTTTCCGACTCTTCTATTCACTTCTGCAACATATATTTGCTTTGTCAGTCTTTCCTCATTCATTCTTTCTACATGACCAAACCACCGAAGCATTCCTTTCTTAATCCTGGTCACCGCATCATCTTGCAAACCACACTCTTCTTCTTCTTCTTAATATATTAGTTATAGTATACGACTTTGTGTTTTTGTCTCTTTCTTCTAGTGTTGGTTTTAAAGGGCGGCAAAGCTTAAGGTGACCATATTATGCTCACGTACCTTATACTTACTTCGTTTTTACTTTATATTAGTACTAAGTTTCTGCCACTGTTTTACTTGACACTGCCACTAAACAGCAGTGCGTGCACTATTCTCTTCCGGTGTGAAAGGTATACACAGCCAGCCAGTATTATTACAGGCTATGGAGAAATGCCAAGTGTGGTTACTATGGCAAATGTCCTCCATATCAGGCAATGTAGGGGGATGCCTACATTCAGCTATAATGATAATGATGATGATGAGGCATTCCATATTACTTCTAAGAAATGACAAAGTATTTATAGCCACCTTCGTTGGAATTTTGTATGCAGGTCCGTGGTCTGTATTAACCACTTATCATCTCGTGAACTGTAAGTTCATTTGTTACTTTAATTCGATTAAAAACAAGTTGTTCTCCGCGACATCGACTGCGTAGAATTTATCACGATTGAATTTTATTGTTTTTTTTTTGTGCGGAACCCTAATTATTTTTCTAAAATAAAAGTATAACAGCCATTTCAGCACCGACCTCTATATATAATACAAGTAAGCTGGACTGGCTTTATCATACAAAATGTCTGTGCCGATATAAAGCGCCACCATTTTCCGTACCGGGAACTAAAATTGACATAATATGCCAATGTCTGTTATCTTATTTAACTTTTTTTGATCTTTTAAACTAAAAAAACGAAAGTATTTAATGTGATGTTTTTTTCCATTTCCACCATTACAGCCCTTCACAAGTCCACTGCTGAACATAGGCCTCCCCAAGTAACGCCACAAATCACGGTCCTGATCCACCTGCATCCATCGACTCCCTGCATATCTTACCAGGTCGTCACTCCATCTAGTGGGGGGTCGCCCCACACTACGCCTACCGGTACGAGACTGCCACTCGAGAACCTTTCTTCCCCATCGGTTATGGGTTCTTCGAGCTATATGGCCGGCCAATTGCCACTTCAGCTTACTAATCCGTTGGGTTATGTCGGTCTCTCTGGTTTTACTGCGGATATCCTCATTTCTGAGTCTATCACGCATAGAAACTCCGAGCATCCTGACTCCATAGCTCGCTGAGCGACCTTGAGCGTCCTCATACGACCAGCAGTGAAGGACCACGTCTCTGATCCGTAAGTCATCACTGGCAACACGCACTGGTTGTACACTTTAGTTTTCAGAGATTGAGGTATACCTGACGAGAAGATGTGTCGTAATTTCCCGAACGCTGCCCAGCCGAGTTGAATCCGTCGATTGACCTCTCGGTCGAAGTTAGACTTACCTAGTCGGACTAATTGTCCCTATTTGTACTCGTCAACAACTTCAAGCATAGTGCTCCCCACAACTACCGGCATAGGTGTGACATGGACATTGAACATAATCTTTGTTTTGTCCATGTTCATCTTAAGACCTATCCGTTGGGAGACACCATTGAGGTCATTGAGCATAGTGCTAAGGTCCTCCAGCGAGTCTGCCATAAGGACTATATCGTCGGCAAATCGAAAGGTGAGTGATGTACTCGCCATTGATGTTAATACCGTATCCTTTCCAGTCCAGTAGCTTGAAAACGTCTTCCAACGCAGCGGTGAAGAGTTTCGGGTATATAACGTCACCCTGTCTTACACCTCTCTGCAGTTGGATAGGTTTCAAACTCTGGTTCTGTACTCGGATAGCCATCTTAGCCCTACTGTACAAACACTTCAGCACCTCGATATACCGACAGTCAACTTGGCACCGCTGAAGGGACAGTAGCACCGCCCAAATTTCGACGGAATCAAAGGCTTTCTCATAGTCCACATACGCCAGGCACAGTGGCAGATTGTACTCCTCGGTCTTCTGTACAATCTGCCGCAGGGTATGTATGTGGTCTATGGTACTGAAGCCTTTTCGGAAACCGGCTTGTTCGGGAGGCTGGAAGTCGTCGAGTCTGCGTGCGAGACGATTCGTAGTGACTCTCGAAAACAGCACGTAGACGCGGCTCAGAAGGGAAATCGGTCTGTAGTTCTTCAAGAGAGCGTTGTCGCCTTTCATAAAGAACAAGACCACCGCACTTCTGCTCCACGCCTCCGGAGTAGTGCCACCATGGAGGACGGAATTGAAGAGCTCCTGAAGGACTTCAAGTACCTGTGTTCCACCCGCTTTCAAAAGCTCCGCTGTAATTCCATCCTCGCCTGGGGCCCTGCCGTTTTTAAGGTGCTGGAGAGCCATTCTAATCTCGCTCAGACTGACGTCCGGGATATCATCGTAATAGTGTCGGTAAGACTTGCTCTTGTATCGTTACTCACACTTGCGTGTGGCTCCAACGATGATGTGTACAGCTGCCCATAGAACCTCTCAATCTCACTCAAAATCTCAGGTGTCCCGGAAATGATGCTGCCACACTCAATCTTCAGCTTTGACAGTTGGCTCTTTCTGGCAGACAGATCTCTGGCTAAGACTTTTGAGCCCTTGTTCCGCTCGATCGCTTCTTTAATACGAGCAGTATTAAAGTTGCGTAAGTCTTGCCGCATGCGTTTGGAGATCTGTCTGTTCAGTTGCCTGTATGCTGTCAAATCTGTTGACGATTGCAGCCTCATCTCCCGTCTAACAGCCATGAGATTAAGAGTGTGATCGGAGAGTTTTTGTGTTATTCTGCGGCGGGTCTTGCAGAACTTAGCTCCGACCGCATGGACAGTTTCCACGAGCTTGTCATTCATATCGTCCACTGCATTGCAATCTTCTAGGCACTGAAAGCGGTTACGTAACTCGAGGATTCTGAATCAGAGCACGAGGGGGGACGCGTTGACTTCATTAGACGAGACCTCTCCAACTTAACGTTTAGGTTCAGTGTGCCTCTAACCATTCGGTGATCGCTGCCGGTTTTCACCCTTGCGATCACTGAGACATCACTGAACAGTTGGCGTCTGGTCGTCATAATGAAGTCAATCTCATTTTTTGTCGAACCGTCGGGGCTCGACCAGGTCCACTTCCTGTGTGGCCGCTTCTGGAAGAAAGAGTTCATCATAAAGAGTCCCTCTTTCTCCATAAAGTCAGCCAGCTGCTGGCCCCTACGGTTCCGTTGCCCTACTCCAAATTTCCCTAACTTCAGCTCACCGCCTTCTCTTGTGCCTAGTTTTGCGTTGAAGTCTCCCATCAACACCGTGTAGTGGGTTTTGGAGGAATGCATGGCTCTAGAAATATCCTCATACATTTCCTCCACCTCCTCATCGAGATGTGCCGAGGTTGGTGCGTAGACCTGTATGACCTTCAGCGAATACCGTTTGGTGATTCTGAGTATCAGGTACGCGACCCTCGTCGACACACTCCCAATCTTTACAACGTTGTTGACGAGAGACTTGTGGACAATAAATCCGACACCTCCTTGGGACAGATCGTCGCCCTCCCGGTGATAGAACAAGTTGCCGGACTCGAGCCGTGTCCTCCTCCTCTCTTCGGACCTAAGATAATCCAATAATATGCCAGCGCAACTTGTCTACCTCTTCTTCCAGCTCCAGTATCTTCTCGTCAGTCCTCAGGGTGCGTGCGTTATACGTTGCCAGGTCGAGTCGAGAGTGCCATATATAGAGGTCAGTGCATTTCAGAGATTTGCCGGAACAAACAGACAGACGGACAAACATTTTAAAAATGTTTTTTAACCTGTATGTTCGAAAGGCGAATTTAGTCGATTCGCCGGTTGGCTCGCGACGTAAAATGGCGGGAATTGCAAAGTTTTTGCTAACTTGCAAATTTTGCTATATTTTCACTTTGAGACAATATTTATGGATAAAACTTACAGATATTCTTATTGAATGTATAAACTATCGAATAAAATTATTTTTAATTGCTAGAAATTGTAATAAAATTCATAAATTTCCCTTTATAACATAGTAGTAGTAGATACTTCACTTTTAGTCTAAAATTACTACTAATTTGAATTCTACATGTTTATTTTTGGAGAAATCTATATGAAAATGTTTGGAAATATGTATATTTTTATGTTTTATGTGTTTCTATTCGTTACTCATACCTAAATATAAAAATAAAAAAAAAACGGAATTAATTTTTATCTGTATGAGATTTCCGAATAACATTTCAAATATATTTTTGTGTGAATTTGAAATAAATACAACGTCAAGTTATTTGAAATATGTTATAAAACTATTTTTTAGTTACTCGAGCGAACAGGTTAACCATAATCATATGCATTTAGTAAATAGCTGTTATTTTGATATTACAAACAGAAACTTCAATTTCGTTTATTTGTATTAGATGAGATAAAGGACAAAACCGTTACAGGTACGACCCTCGTAAGCAGAAATACGTGGTAGAGCACACGAAGCTAGACGCCACGGAGGCCGTGAACACACCGCAGTGCAGTGCCCGTCAGCTTTACAGGTACGGTTGACACGGTGAAGCTATATTGTGGTTGTAGCAAGAATGGGTCAGCTCGACCTGGGCAGGACCACACTCACACAAAATGCCAGTTTAAAATAGCAGCTTAATGCTGCTATGTTTCGTATGGTAAGTGTAGAGAACTGGAGCCCCTTTCTTAAGAGGATACCTTGAAAATGAATCGTTGTTTTGGGGGCGTGGCTTATCTCTTTGTCGGTAAGCTCACGGACAACTGAGAAAGTGTCAAAATGAAAGTGATGCATAGACTGACGTCTATATATGCAAATTATGAGATAGCTATACCGAGCGCTCGGAAAAAAAAACTAAGTATCTAAGCTCCAAACAAATTTTTTTTAACAAAACTTAGATTTGATTATTTGCTATGCCTTAAAAATAATTCTACGAACGTATTCGTAAAAATATGTTTGTGTCATGGAGAAATGTAACTAATTAGACCCAACTATGCATTTCTTTTCTATCAAGAAAATTACATGTTAGCATGTCTTCCAAGATCATATAGTCAAAAATCATATACCAAAAATTTGTTTCGTAACCTATAAAACTTAAAAAATATGTGAAATAGAAAAATAACCAAATTTTCGAGGTATCACTTTAATCCTCAAGGGTAATAAGGCATCTGCATTTTGGTATTTAGTCGAGAATAGATGTAGATGTCTATTGGGCCACAGCATTCATTTACTCTCGTTTGCCAGCCTTATTCTAGAAAAAAAAAATTGTTTGCAGTTTATTTTTATAATTTCAGTCACGCCAGCCAGTCTCGACGGAGACTAGTTCTCTGCACGGAACATAATTATAATTCCCGAGTGTGTGTGCAAGCACAAGTGCACTTTCTAGTTCTTCATTCTCTTAGTCCAATGTGATTCGACACGACCGGAGAGAGATACGTACTTTGCGAGGCACGAAGGTGAAGCACCGCCATCTTCCTGGCTGGCACACTGGCTACTAATGAGAATTTCTAGACAAAAAAACCTCCTCATCAGCAGTCGTGTTGACGATCACTAGACGAACGAGGCAGTCAAATGCCTAATTCAAAGGGTTAATTGCGGCACGAAAGCATTGTAAAAACAGAATAGTAGGATAACTCCCGCGCCACACGAGAATTAAATGCCTACTGTTGCAGGGTTGTCACTGTCTTTTTGTTTAACAGCTAAGTTTCCTTTAGTTTTATAAGTAATTATAATATTTATAAACATAATACATACCTATGCTTTATATTTGTTAATCACTTCTTTAGTTTCCTCTCAAAGAATTAATGTTTGTCAAAAAATTCCAGCTTTACATTACAACATATGACAAATAACTAAAATATGAGTAAATTAACACTGAATATATGGTATCAGCTCAGATTTAATGTTTAAAACTAATTTGATCTGATATGATATGACAATTAATGTACTTATGAGGTATGTATATACATAGATGTAGATATAATAATATAATAAACTAATAATAAAAAACTTATTTACTTAAACAAACGCATATATTAATTTATTTTTCAAAAAGAGAAAACAAAAAAAGGGCCGCTAGCAAAATTTTATTAAAGTTAAAGTCAACAAAGTCACAAACAAAGGTGATTGCGGAGCGCGGCGGTGACTGTCTCCGACTCGGTCAGACCTTACCGACTTAGCACGTGTCGTTGTGTGCGTTCTGTGGCTCGTGCGTACGAGTCCGTACTATCACGTGGCAGGCACGCGTACATATTAGTAGCGTTCGGTACATTTCTTAGAAGATTGCCTACTATTCTATTTTTACTATGACGAAAGTCTAGCAGTGACCCTTATTGCGCATAAGTCGCGCTGATTGGCTTATTGTGAATAGGCACGCTGATTGGCTCACCAGTCGCATTCGTGTAATTCAATTCGTGCGCGTCCTCTACACGTTTCGTTCAGGGCTAGACTTATGTTTCGTTCAGGGCTAGACTTACATTTTGTTCAGGGCTAGACTTACATTTCGTTCAGGGTTAAACTTACGTTTCGTTCAGGGCTAGACTCACGTATCGCTACTTGTAGTAGCGTTGTTATCCACCAAGTCCGTACGACGATCTAACACTAAAGCAATACAAATGGCTAGTACTGTTGTCCTATGCTTGAAAATAATGCTCTATTTTACTCACCAGATCCAGTTCCTCGAGCAAACAAACACCACCACAGCGCCCTAGCACGCCTGGCAGTTTCAGCGAAAAGGTCTCCACTTTTCACTTGGAGAGAGCATCTTCTTTCAAAAAGAGACATTAGATATTAAATCGTAATTATCATATTCAAACTTTGTATCTTACAGTTGAGCGTGGGCTGCCTTATTTGATTTTATCGTCATTAAACTCGGTTTCCTGTACCAAAAACTATGTTTAATTGTATTAAGAAATATGTTAAACAGAATTATAAACCTTGTAAATATAAATAAATGATTTGTTTAAATATATTCATAAATGTTTAAACCTTATAAAGAAATGATATGTTTTATTTGACGGCAAGACTATTTTTTGCTTACGAGTTCGTTTGTGTTCTTTCTTAGTTCTTTGAAAAAAAAAAATAGATCAAAATGTTCATTAATAAAATGGCATGCGATCAATAATTATTTCGTATTTCTGTGGTTTAGTTGTAGGAAGTTTCATCAAGTATTTACACCTTTAAAAAAAATTGAAATTGACGTAGAAATTTAATAGATTTTAGTTCCTAAAAACCTCACATATAACGAATAGCGCGGCATTTTACTCTAACAGATGACTGCGTAAATATAGTTTTCTTTGTTGCAAATTTGCTGCAGTTGTCGTCCATTTTATGTCGTTAAAATAAAATAAGTATAAGACATTTAATTTGCTTTATTAGGCGATATTACTATTTTATCTGCTTAGAAGTTCATCTAGGTAGAGCCCTTTTATCTATACTACCAATATCACTAGAGTGCTATGATAGTACTATTATTTTTTTCAATGGTGCTGGTATACTAAAAATTCCGTGTAATCGTGTAAAATTTCAACAAAGTGAAATTTCTTTACGACAGATCATTCTTCTTCAGTTTTATATTTACTTAAGTAGCTTAAATAAGGGTATACTCATGCAACCCCGGCGGTGAAACGTTACGAGAACTGCATACGAGAAAGATGTGTGTCGGCTAAGAAGCTACGAGGCTAATAATGTCCTCCAGACTGAATTTCGATCACTGCACCAGTCTCAACAAGTACAAGATTTAGTTGCGGGAGAGGACAAGCAGAGGTGCACACTCTATTCTCTTACTTCAATCATGACAAAAAATCATGGGCAAGACCAACGGTTTCACGTGCTTTGTGAGGCACAGGGACGAAACATCGACAATTTTTAAACTCCGGGCTGCTACTGAGAAACTCTTGACAGTTTTTCAAAAATACTTTCAGTTATTTTCAAGTAGATGCTACTGCTGCTAATGAGGAATTATTGAGCTTTCATTTTGTCGTCTCTTACGACATCCTTGGATTGGTATGGTGTAGTGGAGATATTCTTATGCCTCCATTACATAGCGATTATTTCTTAAAAAAAAAACAAGAGTTTTCTATTACTTGGACGTAAACCTTTTTTATTCTTGGTAAAACCACGCTGTTTTATGGTTGTAGCACAAATGGATCGGCTCCAGCGAGAGGAACAACAACGTAAAATAGCAGCTTAATGCTGCTGTGTTTCGTATGGTGAGTGTACAAAACCAGACATTCTTTTTAGTTATATTTTTAGGATACGAAATATTCCTTCTTGGAACTCAGGGGTGACAACGCATCTGCATTATGATTCTTAATCGAATATAAATATACATATCCATGGGCCACCGTATCCAATTACCATCAGATGGACCCTATGCTCGTCCGTGACCCTCGTGGCGGCGCTGTCGTCGCGCCACAAGTGAAATACACCGAAGCCTAAATCGCACTATCAAAGTTTGTAAGCTAGCTTCTGTATATAGAACAGCTCCCAATTTTCATCCATATTTATTTAAATATAATTATGACACGAAGCTTTGGATTCGCCCCGGGCCGATCTCCTTGCCTGGCGGGAGATCTTCCCCTTTCTTTTTACGGCCAAAGTGGGCTGTCGTCGCGCCACACCCTTATTCTATATTTTTAAAAGACAAAATTAATAGTGATTTATAATTTGTAATATAATGTATCTGTGAGAGCTCAAACTAATTACTACGCCTGTCAAGAACTACTAGCAACAAGTGACATACCTAAATATTACCAATATTAGGCACAAGAGTCTCAATATTGAGAGGGACATAAAACACAATCAGAAGGCAGATCCGCTTCAGTGCGTTGGCTGACATTAAACGAAATATTTCTCGGACAATTTTACATGAAATTTCCCTTCGCCGCCGAGCACGGGGTTAATCTGCACTTAAATAGAAATGACATCATTGGTGTCGGCAGAAACAAACACAAATTATTCTATATCTATATTATATAAAATGAATTAATGTGTCTTACCTAGTTTGAAGAGCGCCTCCCTCCCTCCCTCAGTTTCGTGCACTATCCCCGTCACCACTAATCCCAACACCATTACACTAGACAAGACACATCACCGTCGATAATACGACATGTGTTTTGTCTCTAAACTATGCATCATCAGGTGAAGTAGACTCTGCGGTTACTAACTGCCTACTTAACGGTTAACAATTGAGGAAGTACTTCTAACTAGGTGAGACTCGTAATTTCATTTCATTACGCGGATCTTAGCCAATAAATTATTAACATCATTAATATTTTTTCTTGGTGGAGCCATACCGCAGCTCTATTATGGTTGTAGTACGTATGGGTCAGCTCGACCGGGGTTCTCAACCATCTTAGTTCTCAGGGATCAGGAGCAACGCAACTGCATTTTGATTCTTTGTTTGCCCGTTTATCACCCTTATTCTATAAAAAATACGTGTGGCACTCGGTGACTGCCGCGGTAAATCTATTGCAAAGCATTTTTTATCAACTTATGCAATTATAATTATTTATTTATTTTATTTATGCAGTTAAGTCTTTGATATTAAATCAAGTTACACTTTTTGAGCGTGGTGACCGATAAGAAAACAAATTTTTTTCTCTTATTGAAATGAGAAGTTAATATTGTTTAAAATATTTTTAATATCTTACAATACATGTAGGTTATTCAGGAATTTTTATCATTGAGTTAGCAGCTAGTGTACACGCATACGTCTAGTCGCACGCACACAAACACCGTGCCGAAGTCTGCCGAGTGCCGAAGTCTGCCGAACTGAAACGACGTTAGACGATGCACGGCTTTCAACGCCACACCTCCGTGCCCGTCGGAGTGGGGAGCGTGAGGTTTTTTTCGTTACGGAATTTCTGGATTCGGTCCCCGCGCTCAAGGCCCGCGATAGAAGCTATGCAATAGCTTAAAAAAAACACGGCCCACCTGATGGTAAGTGAATGCTGTGGCCCATAGACATCAATATTTATCCTCGATTAAGAATCAAATTGCAGATGCGTTGTCACCCGTGAGGACTAAGATGGAAAGCCTCGTTTCTAGTAATAAAGGGTCTCTGGATTAGACATATCGTTAATAGTTAAATTCTTTTTTGTTAAAAGTTATTTCTTATTTTTTTTAACAGATAAAATTAACAGTTAAAAATATTACTTACTTTTGTAGTAAATTTGTGTTTTTAATCGATTGTGTTAATTTTATTGCTATTTTACGCATGAAATTTTTATTCAGTAAACATTTCTTCATACTCGTATTTTAATAGGTACAGGAGTCTCTTTATCATTAACGTCTAACTAAGCTAGTAGTATTTAAAGGTTTATTAATTCAATACTTATATTTTATTATAATTTTTAATAAATTGTACATTATTTACAATGATTATTAGGTATTTATTAAATGTAAAAAAATGACAAATTTTTTTATGATGGCACAACTGTGTGTGACGTCTTGGCATGATAAAAGATGAAAATTAAACTTTAACAAAAAATCCTATATTTTTGTACACTACACTAAATAATATAAGTAAAAACTAATTTCACTATATCTAAATTAACTTCTATAGTATTTATTTTTCCGATTTTGATGAAAAAGTAAACCACAGAATACTATTACTCCTACCGGAGAAATAAACCCTATATAAAATGATAATAAACTGACGGGCTTCGTTTAAACAGTTTTAAATTAACATCAACCAATATTTCAGCCAATAGCGTAACAACAAAATACATAAAATTAACATCAACCACTAACATATTCAACCAATAGTACACTTATGCTTTAAAAATATGAGTTTGAACGGTTTAATAAAAATATCACTTCAAATGACTTGACGGCAAATGATTGATTATTTAATAATATGATAATTTTCAACCACAATAAGATATAAGTTTAATTTTATAGCAAATATTTATTACAATCCTTTTTTAATGTGAAGCCTAAATTTTAATGTAGGTACTAAATCAAAAGAATACATGTATTGATGTTTTTGAAGAATATTTCCTTTATTTCTTCAGTATATAAAATTTTAATAGCGCCATCTACTACATTCTATAGATGAAGTCATTTTATTGAACGAAAATTGATTCACACTAAAGGTGGTACGCAAAGATTACGCTAGATGGCAAAAAAACGGCTATCACTGGATAATTTTATTCAATAAGGTTAATTTTATTTAAAATAAACATAAACACTCACGCCTGTCACCCAGAGGGGTAGGCAGAGACTACGGACTTCCGTTTGGCACGATCCTGACATACCTCTTTCGCCTCCTTTACATCCATATATCTACGCAAACATGCTCGTCGGTTAAGGGTACTTCTAACGTGGCCCCTTTTCAAAATATCGCCAATTTGGTCGATAAACTTTTTTCTAGGGCGTCTCTTCCCGACTCGGCCGTTCACATCTGCCATATAAATTTGCTTTGTCACTCTTTCCTCATTCATACTTTCTACATGACCAAACCACCGAAGCATTCCTTTCTTAATCCTGGTCACAACATCATCTTGCATACCACATTTATCTCTTATCACGCAATTTCTCACCCTGTCATTCAGATTCAACCCTAGCATACTCCTTAAAGACCGCATTTCTACAGCATTTATTCTACTTTCGTGCTTCTTCTGCCACACCCAGCTTTCACTACCATACATTAAAGTAGGGACTAACACAGCATTATGAATTACCATACGTGCCTTTTTTGAAACATTCTGGTTCTTCATAATAGAGTGTAGTTCCCCATTCACTCTATTCCCTGCATTTACTCGTCGTTCTATATCCCTTAT